TTACATAATCATCTGGGCAGGAAGTGCCTACATAGACGAACTTCAATACGGGTTCCACGACAGTGGTGCTACAACACTAACCCTTACCGACAGGAGTGCTACACCGCTGCTTCTGCTGAAAGTGTTTGTACACGAAATGAGTGGTACACAACAAAACTTTTACCCAGAAAACTCTTACCCGCCATCGCCTCTACTGCAAGAAATTTAGCTTACGCACGAGATTACTCCTACTGCAAAGACTTATGCTGACATTGGTGCTACACGACAAAATTCTTAGATACACTTAAATACAAACAAAGGTACACTTCGACATGTGTATCTGTCATCGCTTTTTACTGTGAAAAAATATAGACTTAAGTATGCGCAACATTATTTCTTCTCCTAATGCCTGCCTTAGAGAGCAACATGTGTGAAAACCTAGCAGCGGTGTAGAAACAGCTCACAGGCTCGGAGGGAACCCCAACTGGGAAATACTGCACTTAAAAGTTTGTGCCGCCGACACGAAAGCTTTGTCATTTATCATGTTATGTTATTATGTCACTATGTTGCGCTTGGCCTAGGAGAAAGGCTGTAGTTTTGGAGCAAAGCTTCAATAATACGTATGGCTTTTTGAGGCATTAGTTTTGTCGCGTGGCACTGGAACATTATATTAAGTCATTGTAGTAGAAGAAATGTCATGTTCCAGGGAACATTAGACATGGGTTGCAGTTTCGTACTCAGCCGGGGACCCCATCCATCCCTCATCTATGCAGGAAGGTGTGTCTGAGCATGCCATGCATTTTGGAGCAGGCCTTTGCGTTTTATATTGCTTAGCGCTCAAAACTCGGTTTGCAACGCTATAACAGTGCGCTACGCGTTGTTTCAGCAGAAAACAAATCCCGCTCAAAACTAGTGTGGTGGGTCTGTCAATAGCAATATTTGCAGCAGCAACGTGCATCAACAACATACAGTAAGCACTTCCAGTATGATTTCGCCGTCCAAGTGTTTTCACGTATTTGTACCTCGCGATTTTGGTGAGGCTTAACCCATGGACTGGAGTGCTGGTGGCTAAAATTTATGGATTATGGCCTGTGGCGTATTGCACAAATGTCGCATATAAGTATTGGCCGAAGAAGTAGTATGTTTATGAGCCGCGTATAAGTCAAGATGAGAATCGAATATAAAGTGTATATGTCATTTTGATTTAGCGACATTATAAGTATGCGACAAAATGTACACAAAAGCATGTATTTTGTCGTGCAGCACTCACGTCGTGTATAAGTCACTGCATTAGAAGTAATGTCGCGTTCAAGGAAAGTCTGTATGAGTTTTTGCAGTAGAAATAATGTGGCGTACAGCTAATGTAGCATTCCTGCCGGTAGGAGCTCTTGCCGAGCACCAATGTCGTGACGCCGAAGCGGATTGGGATACCACTATCAAACCTTCATGTCAGACGGACACGACCGCTAGGCGGTAGGGGTCACGTGACGGGGCCCAACCGTCACGTGACAGACCGCGGCGCGCACCGGACGCGCCTCACATCCTGAGCACGCGCCATTGTTGCGCGTGCACCTTGGTCCGCCCGCCAGGCAGGGGACGGCGGCTGATGGACGCCGGCTGACAGCAGGGCTCGGCGCGCGCAGCAGCGGCCGGCCAACCGTGACGGCCGGCACGTGCAGAAGGCCGGTAAACAACGCCACCGCGGCTCGCCCGCGCTCCCACCACTAAGAGGATTCGACTAAAAGGGTGGATTGCTGTAAGCTGCTGAGATTTCGCCTTTTACGGCGGTGCCTCCGACAGACGCTCGGCGTGCGGTGGCTTTTCTTTTTTGGGTGTGGATCCCCAAAGATGGCGTTCAGAGGCGTGGCAGCCTGATCCGACGTGACATTTGCCCGCGTCGGGCGATTCTGGCCGTGTTTGCATCGTCGTGGCATACTGCCAAGTGGAACTGGACTCTACCGGATCAGATCAGAAGCCCAGCGCGGACAGTTGAGAGTGCGTCAGTGAAGTACCCAACCTCGTCTAGCCCACATGTCACAAACTGTGTAAAACCATTAGCTTGCGCTGCCCAACGGACTTTTGCAGGTCTTCGAGGAAACATGGCCGCCACTGGAAACGTACCTGGTATTTTAAACGCTATACTGAGTCTAGTCTATTAAACGCTATACTGAGTCTAGGCTAAACAGTTCTTTTTCAGAACCGGCAAAGCGAATAATCCGTTCCTGTTCGGTCCCGTGCCGTCCAGTAAAGCTTAGCTCATTTCCTTTCAGCCCAGCGCAGTCCAGTCCAGTCCAGTCCGGGACCGGCCCGAACCTGTGCTGTCCTGGTCTCTCCTGTCCAATCTTTCGCCGTCTTGAGTGCCACTGGCCCGTGCCCTGTGTTATCCCATGCCTATGACTTCTTTGTTTTGAGTGCCCGCTGCATTAACCGCACGCCGAAGGTCAAGACAACTCTACTTTTTGCAATTTCAGCCGGATTTCGTCCATGTTACCGCATCAATGATCGCAGACAATGCACGTGCAGCCCAGCCCAGCGTCCATCAACCACTGGGCAGGAATCTTCAAATGAACAGTTCACGTACGTCCTTCGTGGTCGATTAGTAACAGACCATCCGGACAGGGCCGACTCTGGCTGCAAACACTGCAGATGGCACCGGAGTTAAACAATTTGAGAGCAATCAAGACGGAGCGTTGACGTAGCGATAGGAATAAACCTTCTTTTCCGCTGAAAAAGGCCATTTAAATTGATTGCAGTTTTAACCGAGAGAACATCATGCGGACCTTGGTCACGTGCTGATTACTCAAAGCCCAAGATATCGAATTCGGGTCTGGCGGTTTGAGTCGTATTGCCTCCCTTCTACCCTGACACTGCCCCGCGCAATTTGTTCTTATCTCCTTGGCTGACAAGAACTGGGCGATGGGTCCACTTTATTTGTGATTGGCGTTACCCTGCCGGCGGCCATGACGGCATCGACTTTCTGCCCGTAATCAACGTGCATTTGCTGACCAAAAGGACGGGTTAGTGACCGAGGGATGACAGGCCAGGGGTCGGCGCCGTCCTTGCGGCGTCGGACCACCATCTGACCCAGTTCGTCGGAGGGCTTCAGCAGTAAAACTGACCGGCGCGGCGGGACTGCCCCTCCCCAGCTCCGGCGGCCGGCCGCAGACGGCCATTACCCGTGTCACAACGGCTCATCTGTCCGCCGACCGCGCTGTGATTATCAACCGAATGGGGCCATGCGGTGCGAGATTCTGGAAAATCTTCTCAATCGGGTAGTGTTCTGTTTCGAAGGTGGCGCGCCTTTTTTGTTGTAATCCTCCACAGCGAAGTATCTGGTGTCGGGGGATGGTGCAGTGTGGATGCTCGGTGTCAGGACTTGACAGAGCCCAGGCTCTGACAGCCCGTTCAGACACGGGCGCCAGGCGTACAATGCCGCTCTATTTCCAGGCGCGCTACCACACCCTCAAGCACCTCGTGAGTGATTGGCCAGAAAGCACTGATAAAAAGGTGAAGGCTCCTAGCGCCCCAGGCTCAATCCAAATGATTGTTAAATATGTTGTTTAGTATGATGTTTATCATACTAAGTATATTATTTAGTATGGCGCATAAGCGCCTACCCGGTTTATGTGGTTTGTCACTTTGTGTTTGCTTATCGGTTTTCTTCACGCCGAAATAAGTTTTTGCAGAGCTTTTGTTCTCATATTGGCCTTGCGCGAGCCCGGTGCGCTATGTTGGCACCGCACCTTTGCGGTACTTCACACTTTTTTGTAACGGGGTCATGACCTGAAGGAAACAGTGAGAAGATGTGTGATGAGAATATCAAACAGGGGAGAATAATTGAAGTGAAAAATGACTTGCAAAAATGGTGCTTTTCCCCGTCAAAAATCAACTGAATATTCTCTCGACGAGCCTTTTTACGTTTGTCGCGACAATGATAACTTTTTTGGCACCTTCTTCCATCGCGTATACACATTGTACCACTCCGCCAAACGAGACGCAGGGGATATCATATAACTATCGATACGCTCGAACTTGTCTACAAAAGATTGTGACCGCACCATTGAAGGACGCGTGACACTGTTCAGTCCAACAAAGGGTCTGAAGATCTCATCTGACCTAATTTGATCTGAAGACGGCGTCAAGGCTCGAGCCATTGCCGCCAGCTGCCACCGGATCACGACCGTGAGCTCGTCCCAGCTGCCGCCGGATCACGGCTGTGGCTGTGGAATCGCCTCCAGCTGTCGCCACATCACGGCCGTAAGATCGTCCCAGCTGCCGCCGGGTCACGGCCGCGAGATCGTCCCAACTGCTGGCGGATCACGGCCGTCAGATCGCCTCCAGCTGCCGCCGGATCACGGACGTGAGATCGCCTCCAGCTGCCGCCAGATCACGGCCGTGAGATCGCCTCCAGCTGCCGCCAGATCACGGCCGTGGGATCGTCCCAGCTTGCGAACCGGTGAGGGATTCAACTGAACCGCTTATTTTCCACCCGATTAAAATGCTGTTCCGGTCCGATAAACCCTCGAGGGGAGCGCCCCAGCGGGGGGGGGGGGGGGGCAGTGCCACGTAGCGGCGTCGGCGCGCGCCGGGCCGGGCCCCGCGGGAGGCCGGCGCCCGTTTGTCAGCCCGTCGGTCAGCAGACGTGTCTGCTATGGGGAGCAGCCCCTGCCGACCGTGCTCGCCACCTCTGCGGTTGGTCGCCAGAGGCACTGTAACCGGATCCAACTCTCCGCGACCATGGCGAATGGGATCGCCAGGCTGCTATTAGCCGCCAGAGGCACTGATGGTCACTGTCGCTGGATCCAACTTGCCACAA